CATGCTTTTGGGAAAACACCTTGAAAGGGGGAAACTTACATTTGGGGTAGCACAGATTGCCACGGAAGGAGGAAGACTTTAGAACAAGGGTTTCAAATGCAACATCTTACAGGGGACAGCCAGGTAAATACAAATCAGCAAAGAGGACCTGCTGTAAGACACTAGAGAGCACATCACGCTTCACTGACAAGCACATTTTCAATCATGAGGGGTGGAGCACAAGCCACACATATTACATACAAGCCACCCACGTATGCCTACTTCTGCTTCTTCACCCGCTTCAGTGCTTACCGGAAGATGCCTAAGCCACTCCCAATCATTTCAGATCTCACCAATAATTACTGATTGGCCTCACGCCCAGCACTGTGCCAGGTACATCCACAGACACGACTGTTTTTAGTACTCATAACTGCCCGGTGATTCGTATATTTATGTCTCCATTGATAGATGAGGAAATTGAATCCCAGAGAAGTTTAAGATGACTTGGCCAAGCCCACCATCTACTTCCTGGGAAGAGATTTGGGGAATACTGCTAGTCCTCGGTTTCTTAACTCTAAGCCAAGTATATTGGTTCGAGTAAACTTGTTATCTGTTCTCTACTAGTTTATATACTGTTTTGTCCCCCAAGGCAATACATGATGTGTGTGTCAGTGCAGATCTAAATAACTGCACAATTAGATGTTGGGGGGAGGAGGGAAATGGGGGAGTAATTTTGGTTTAAATAACCAAGGCCTCTGCTGCAGAACAATACCTATAAATAATGCAGCATTTCCTGGCTCCAGCTCCTTGACCAAAATTCCAATTCTGTCACGTGTTAAAACTCAAACTGTCAAATTGAGCAGGTTCTGCTTAATTTCACTTCTGTCTCAAGTTTAGACAAGTGAAGACCAACTCACAAGAGAGTGTGAGCAGATGAGCACACACAGTCAGAACCATTCTTTATTTTTTTCCACCTAGAACTGCTCCTTATGCAGATCTAGCCATTAAGTACCGAGCAGATCCGAGAAGGCTCTATTCCACAAAGCACAGCACTCCATCTTTATTTTCCCTTTAAATAAAAAATAAAATTAACTGAACCCTTGGTAATATTACATAAAGTAACTCAACTTCTCTGAAAGCCTCACTCGGAAGAGTCTCTTATATGTGACTGCAAGGATTAATTAAAAAAAGGAAATGTATTTTTACATTTAACTAGACGTCTAGTCCTGTCTATCACCTTGCTAGCTAACCTTTCTTCAAATATAAATATATTTTAAATTGGTTTGCCAATGCCCTAGATACCTGGAAAATCCTACCGGCACACACCAGTTATTCATTCCCAGCCCCTGATTCTAAGCCTGACACGCACAACCTTGGAGGTGACAGCAGCTGCACGTGTCTACTTCATGAGAATTGGCACCAGAACCTGCACCTTCATAATCTGCATTGATTAAAGACCAGTAGGGAAGCTCTTGCGTTCCCCAGCACCCTACAAATATCTCCTTTCCTATGGATAAGGAACCCCAGACAACCCGAGAAAGGGTGGTCTTAAAAATTACATCAATAAAATGTAAAGAGCCCCTGGTGTTTATCGATGCTCTGCAGGAAGCAAGGCAAACCTTTCTCCTGTAGGTACAGCAAGTTCACTGGCATCCACCTGACAGGTTCTGACATGGAAATTCTCTGGTCACTAGAAGCATGAGTGTGCTGACCTGTGTGTTACCTGTTTTGAAGCCATCGGCTGGGAAGTTCTGACTCAGAGGGTGATCAGCAAAAGAGTGGGTGATCATGGAAGTTTGTAGAATCATACCGCATGTGCTGCAAACCATCGGGTTGTGAGATTTCTCTGCAGAAATCAGTTTTGTGTGAAGATTTGGTTTAAGTTCATCTGTCTCTTATATTCCCGCTTTTCCTCCACAGTACTTAGCATAGAACTTCAAAAGGCACTCAATAAATATTTGCTGAATGAATGTAATAGGAATTAATAATGCAGAATGTTTTTGAAAAGGTAATTGATGTCAAATGGCAGGCAGGAGAAACCAGAGAAAGTTCACCAGGGAGAGGAATGCTGTGTACAAATTTGGTGTGGCATTCAAGGAAAGAATTTACATTTAATAAATAACTTTTGAAACTAGGTCCTTTTTTTGTCATTGCCTCTGGACTAGGCCACACTGGTGGCAGGAGAATCCAGCCAAAAAAACCCTGGTAGCAATTTGAGAAAGGGAAGTAGAAATAATAACTAAATATTAGAAAGGATCCCATGAGGATCCTCTGCCATCAGCATACCGGGAGATCTTGAAGAACGACACACACACACACACACACACACACACACACACACACACACACCTCTTTAAATTCTTTATGGAATAAAAATGGCAAGCCGATGGCATCAGCCGGTCTTGCTATCCCCACCATAGCAGGAAACAGGATAAAAACGAGTATATTTTTCTTTGCCTGGAGCTCCGAGGCTCATGTCAGCACGGAGCAGGAGAATTTTGATTTGCTTGATCTATATTCTGGACCCAGATTGTCAAAGGCAGCTTCCTAACTTTTACATATCAAGACCCTATAGAAATTGATCTATCTGTACAATGAACTGGGGCAAACAGGGGAAACCATGGGGTGTCCCTGGAAAACCTCTGGGGGGCTACACCCAGCCCAGGCACAGCTTGATGGCCCAGATGCCAAAAGGGCTCAACATCTGGGCATGTCTACAATTCATGCATTATCTACCAGTGCTCTGTGGCGCGGCCACGGGACGCTTTGTGTTGAAGACTGTTCCCTAGACTGATCAGCCAAAAAGCCAGCCATCACGTATGCCTGCCACAGAACGTACTTCCCATGCTGCACTTTCTCAGGGTCCCCACATGTGTTAGCAAATGAGCATGGTAAGGCTCTGAGGAGCCCCTTTCTCTTGTTTTGTGCCCCAGTTTTTCATTCTGCATTCGCCAGGACATCACTACCACCGCACAGATCTAAGGAAGCTGTCCCAGGGTGAAGCCCTCCCCACGAGCACGCAGCACCAACACAGCACCCCAACTGTTTCTCACCGAAGGGTTCATTTGGACACTGACCTCCTTAATTTTCAAAACAGAATCCTCCTTGAACTCTGCTCATGCCAAAGTGTTAACTAGGACCATCACTAGCACTGCCTCCAGAGGAGAGGCCGTGCAGCCCGGGGTAAGCAGATGCCGGAGTCGGGACGCCCAGTCACCCGCGATGAATCACACGCCTTTGCAAGGAGAACTCTAAACACGAGAGATTCAAAACTCAGCGCTTACCCCAGCCCTCCCCACCCCAGGAGACGTATCTGTCTTTCTGGGTCTATAGTCCCTTGGCTGTTGATGCAATTAGTGCATAATAACTGTGTACACATCAACTCGCGGGGAATCGGCGGGCCTGCCGGGCGGTGCGGTGGGGGCTGTCTCACAGGCGGGTGAGAAAATCCGGTATAAACATCTGGTGTCAACCGTGTATTTTAAAAGTGTTTTGTGTCTCCCGGGCTACTGAGCCCCACTCAAGACTCCTGTTCCCAGCAGCCCCTCGGAGACAGTGGAGACAGCAGAGACCGCCAGCTCTGAAACACTCGCATTAGCGCCCTCGGTGCTTCTGCTGGTTGACTGAGAGTTTACTGAGGTGTCCTGTAGCACACGCACTGGCTGGAGGCTCGCTGGCGCAGAGGTGAGCCGGCTCCATTGCCACTGTGTTACTGTGAAGTGCCGGGCTGGCTCCGTCAAGGGCCCTGTGGCACGAGCCACAGCTCGGTCTTAGGGAGAAGCAGTTGCTGAGCCCTGTGTTTAATCGACAGCTTCACTGGGGGGGGGGGGAATGACTGGCAATGTTTTAAAAAGTGGTGATTCTCTCAAACCTGCTTGTTTGGACTCATTGTTTTCTTGAAAGGAACTTAATAAATTAATTTCTTAATATGAGACATCGAAAGTAGGAGTGGCGCACACCACCTGTTGCAATCAGTAGCCGAATCCTGCTCCCCAAATTTGGGATTAAGAGACATGCGAGACAGGAAATGACAAGATTTCTTTGACAGATGAGCAGTCGAATCATGCCAACAACTCTCCCAGCTAACTCCATGAAGAAAGCCACCTTGCCATAAAAAAAAAAAAATTTGTACCCGATTCCAAATCACTCTTGACAGCTATACAATTCACAAATCAACCTTCTTTTCCAAAGTTTTACCTATGCTCCAGAATTCAGTCGGGATAGTTTTTTCTTTCTTTCCAGTTGCTCTTAAAATTGGCTGTTCCCAAGTACTCTAAAATTCCCCGGCAAGACTGTTAAATACTTTCACATTTCCATGTTTAATTGCATTCAGATTGTGATTTTTGTGTAGACAGAATATAGCCCCATTTTAATGCCACTGACCACAATGCCTTTCACATAGAGCCTTTATTCGTCCTTCTCTTCTATATAAATAGACATACGCTCCTTGTCAAAATGCAAGAGTGAGCTTCTTTACATCGTTAGAACAAAGAAGCCAGCTCGGTTTCTTTCTTCCCCCGGTGTCCGGTAAGGTGTCCTTTATTCTAAGTGCAGAATGCAAGGACTTTGCTGCTGCACGAATGAAAAATGACTCCCCCAGACTGCCTCTCCGTGACAAACTGCACTCCTGCAGAATATCACACTGCCTGTGGTTCTCAGAACCCCACTTCGCTCTACTATTACTTCCTTGGGGACCCAGCCTTCCTCACAAAGCACCCCAAAGTTCATTTCCAGTTTTAGAGTGCAACAAAGATGAGGAAGCTTGCCCATCAGGACGGCAGGGACATTCCTGGCTAGTAAGAACACCCCGAATGTCTTAGGTGCTAAAATCGTTGCCTCTGTGCATTCTCAGGGGTACAAAACAGACAGAAAAAGTTGCCTGGAGGTATCTGCGCAGCACTGTGTTTGTTCAGGAAGGAGCCGGGGGAGAGGCTGAGCAAAGCCTCTCCCTTTGCTTCCTGGGTGAGAGGGGGAGCTGTGCCAGTGAGCAGAAGCAAGCAGAGAGAGATCGAAAGACTCACCGGCTTCCCCATTTTTCCCAGGACCGGGTTTTTGTTCCTCAACTGGGAGCTGGAAGGGCAAACCTGAAGGTCCTCCAAGCAGGCTGCCTCGGATCAGCTGAATGGCTGGGGCGTTCAGGAAGCTTGCTCTGTCCAGCTCGGATCACTCCCCTCTCCGGGCTGTGTGCTTACACGCCTCTCAGCGCAAAAATCCGCCAAACTCAGGTCAGCCTAACAGGTTTCCTTATATAGGTAAACATGAGTTGCATTCCTGGTGAAAGAAGTTAACTAGGAATCCCGGTAACCTGGTTAACTCTACACATGCCAGAATGGCTCAGCCAGCCAGCCTGCGCGGGGTTTGGTTGCCGTGCAAAGGGATTTGTGTGATTTAATTAAAATCATCTTTATCCCGGCAGTCTGTAAAATTGGCCCTTCTAGTGTAGCTGTGAGTCAACAGCTAGTATTTTATATCCTGGGCTGTGACCAACCTTATATTATCTGAAAGCATTGCAGGGAGAAAAACCAAAGGGTAGGATATTATCATTTCACTCTCATCTTTTCAAACCAGTGTAACTTGTCTTGAAATTATTTTCAAAGAAGTGAGCGGAAGACGTGAGGGGAAGAGAATGTGAAGAAACCTCCATCAAAGGCTCAAATGCCTTATTTGAGCATAATAACTAATAGTTATTCAACTTTCTCAGGCCTAGCGCAGACAATGCAATATGATCATTTTGCGCTTACTTCCTTCACAACTCAGTAATTGCTACTGTGTGTTTCTGATGGGCGGCCTGACATCTAGTTATTCCCCATAATAACCTTCTCGAAGCCCCACATTGAAGTGGTTTTTGATGGTTTCAGGAAAGAAATCTAAGACCTGTGCATTTGCATAATTACACGTAAAGAGATTTAAACAACTTCCTGGGCCTAGGAGATAAGCAAACACATCTTTAAAGGAACTCCAAGGAGGGTCTAATTCTAGCTTCAAAACAGGGTTTTCAAAGGTAATTATGTAACTTGTATCAATTGCCTACAATTGCCTAATTGACTCCTCCCCTACATTTACCCACTTTCTAGTAATGTAACGATTCTTTTAAGATCTAACCAATTTCACTGAAGTCTTAATGTGAAGCAGAGACTCAAGACTTGTCATTGCTAAGAACTGTCTTCAACTGAGTCATTTGTTTCCATTTGAGCAACTGGTTGAGGCTCCTTAGTAATGACAATCTTAGTAAAACTAGCTCGTGCTGTGCTTTAGTTCTCTGCAGGGGAAGGCTGCAGGGGGAGGCAGGGGAATGTTTACACACCACCTAAGCCCGCCCCAGCACACACCAGTCACAAGAGTTTCTGCTGCAGGCAGGAAGGGGCAAAGCCCGCACCTCGGGGAAGGAAACCCATGTCTGAGCACCATTGTCCATCGGGCGAAGACTGTACAGGCACAGCTCTGCGTCTCCCAAGGAGGCTCTGGAGTGTGTTGTTCTTTCCTTTTCATGATAACAAGATTGACCCTCAGAGTGATTTGTCCCAAGTCACTCTGTGGCAAGTTCACAATCCCAGCTTTTCCGGAGTTTAACTTCAATAGAATTTCCAAAAATTGCAAGAGACAGAAGAACATTAACATGGCAGTTTTCCATGTTCAAATATAATTTTTAATAATCAGATGTCCAGAGAGTTTAAATGCAATATACAAACTGATTAAAATACTCTTTATAAAGTCATAATTGACGGCTAAGATGACTGCCTTTAAATGACTCCAGAAAGATCATAAAATGAGCTAGGAAGTGTATCTTTATTGAATACAAATTTGGGTTATAAAATATGATGAAAATAGGGCCTCCCCTGGTGGCACAGCGGTTGAACGCTGGGCTGCGAAGCTGCCCGCAGCCTCTGCAGCGCCGGTTCGATCCCAGGCCACCGGCGACGGTCCCACATGGCGCGCAGACCTCTCCTGCCGCCCGCTGCTCCCCTCAGCAGTTGTTCCCCGCTCTGGCTTTGGTGAATTCTCTCACCCTCCCGTGCTTCTGACTGTTCCCAGTGCTTGTATGAATAAATAAATAAATCTTTTTTTTTTTTTAAATTTATTTGTTTATTTATTTATACAAGCACTGGGTACAGTCAGAAGTGCGGGAGGGTGAGAGAATTCACCAGAGCCAGAGCTGGGAGCAGAGCAGGCAGAAGGACCGAAGTACACTGCTGAGGGGAGCAGCGGGCGGCAGGAGAGGTCTGCGCGCCATGTGGGACCCTCCTCCGGTGACCGGGGAGCAGCCGGGGATCGAACCGGCACTGCAGAGGCTGCGGGCAGCTTCGCAACCCAGCGCTCAACCGCTGCGCCACGGGGAGGCCCAATAAATAAATCTTAAAAAAAAAAGGTAATCTATTCTATGTCTGAATAAGCTTAACTGTGAGAAAGTTCTTTATAAAACAAATAAATAAAATATGATGAAAATATAACTTTGCAAGTATTGTACACATTTTTTTCCTGTTCACAGTACACATACTTCCATGGAACCAAGTTAAGTTTCATCTTGATTCCCCCACTGGAAGGAATATTAGTGTTTTCTACTTACTGGGGTTTTTACTAATCTCAAATACAACTGTGCCATGTTAAGTAAATGGCTTTCACTAATATAGTCCATTTACGACCCTGCACCCTCTAAGTTCTTATAATTCCCACTGAACCAAGTTGTGTTTATGCAGGAACTTTAGACTTTATTAACATGTTGATGCAAGACAAAGAATGCATTTTTTTTCCAGGGTAGGCTAAACCTTCAAGTGCCTTAAGCTGGCCTCCAAATTTGTTCTTACAATTCTAAGCAAACAATCATGTAGGTTTTAAACCCAAAATCGCTTAGGCTATCATGATTGAATTGGAAGGTCAAGATGAAATTTGGATCTCAAAGTAGCATATTTCAAAGAGGGACTATAACCTCTGCTAAATCCATTTTGGATGCCTCAAGAAATGGTTTGGGAAAAGCAGGGTCGCTGAAGCGGCATGAATTAAACCCAACTACAGAGGACCCGGACGAGAGAGTACTTACAGCTGAATAATTACACCGTGCCAAAAAATAGCACTTATGGGAAACGAAATAAAACACAAGACCTACTTGAAGGGGAGAAAATATCATTGTGGTTTAAAGTAAACATCAGGGGATAGATTTTAGACCTTCCCAATGACATATAACTAATGAGTAGTTGAGCTATAATTCAAAGCTCCGTCCATCAGACTCCAGAACCTTGCTATTTCTACCACACCTTGGGTATACCACAATCCGAGAAAGAGCAAACGCCTTAGCATTAGATGCCTCCATTCCAGCTCCATCTCCTGGGTAAGTTACTTAATGTCTCTGAGCCTCACCTCCAAAGCGGCAATAAAAATGGCTGTCCATCTCACAGATCACTGAAAGTACCTAACGAGATTTTTTTCCCAGTCACCCCACATGTATTGATGCTTCTTATGGGCCAGGCATCCTGTTAGCTTGTAGGAATACAGCCATGGCAAAGTTAGGCATGACCCCTCCTCCTGCAACTAATGATGTACAGGAAAGACAGCATACATCTGCATTATGGAGTGTGGAACTAGCAGCTCTGAAAATTTCTCTTAACTCCAGAATATTGAATTGAAGCTCCATATCAATATAGAAGTATTCACAGACACACATCCAGGCAAATTCTGTCACTGCGGTGGGTGCAGGCTACCCTCATTGGCCAGAGGCTGACCTTACCATGATTAAATTTGGTGAGCTCAGGCTAAGCCAAATAAGACCTAGGGAAAGGCAAAACTTGACATCTGTCATGACAACAATGGAGGAGCAATGTCCAACTCAAAAGCACCTTGAAGATCCTCGGGAAACTGAATGCACAAGGAGTTACCATGACCATTAATTCCATATTCCAGAGGTGGTAGAAGAATATAAGGAAGATTCCCTAAACACGAGAGACACCTATCTATCAACTGATCTAGGATTAATTCACTTCTAGGTAACAAAGACTTCATTGGTACACACTTTGGATAAAGGTCTGTGAAGGATACAAGCAGAAAAGGATATACAGAGAAAAAGAATGGTCTCTAACTTTAATGGAACTTTCTAGAAAAATGTTATGGGCCTTAATAGCTGTATCAGGCAGGATGGGTAAGGTTATGCTCTGGTAACAAGCAACCCCCAGATCTCAGAGACATAAAACAACAAAGGTGTGTTTCTAGCCCCTCCTGCATGTTGACACAGATCGACAGGGAGGACTCTCCTATTCACAGCCACTCGGGAACCCAGACTGACGAAGGTTCCTTTCATCACATACTTCCATGGTTGCTGAGACAGGAAGCAGGGACTTCGTGAATCACGCCCTCCTTTCAAAATTTCACTCCGTAAGGGACACCTCAACTTCTGTTCACCTTTCATGGGCAAACAAGCCCTCTGGCACTACTTGACTTCAAAGAAGGAGAGGAGAATGAGGAGACATGATGGATGAAGTCGTGACAGACGTGGCAAACCATTGGCCTGCAGGAAAGGATCAATCAAAGAGGCATATTCAACACCTCTTATGGCACAATCGTTGGCATTTTAAATTTGGAAATTACCGACTAGATGCAATTTCCACCAGGGCAGGAGCTTAAAGGTAGACCCAGAGATTCCCAGTGGCTCCAGCTGAACCTGGAGGGAAACAGGGACATTTAAAAAGGATGTCCTGAGGCAGGTTCCTCTTAATATTTCCATCAGCTACTTGAAGTGATGAAATAAAAGACAAGTTGATTCAACTTGCAGACGGTGCCAATCGGATAGCTAACACCTCAGAGGGCTGGATTATAATTCAAAACGACCTCGAAGAGTAGTGGGAATGACACTGACAAAGGAAGCTTGTGGTCAATGGTGATGAATAGGGGACGAGAAAATACACGATCGAAAAACTCTATTGAGCTAATGCTTGTCTGTAAGTGGCATATGTGCTGGTGGCTTAGCACTGTTCCTTGTAAAGCCTTTGGCATGGTGGAGCTGACCACGGAAGCCCTGAAAACACCGGCATTCTCAGAGTATGGCTTCGTCGGGGATCAACATTTTAAGAACTAAGAAATCAGAGCCAATTCAGAAACCAAAGCAGAAATTTCCAGAACACAAAGTGCTGTCAGTCAGGAGTCAGCAAGTGTTTTCTGCAAAGGGCCAAGCAGTAAATATTTTCAGCTTTGCCATAAGCCTCTGGTGCAGCCACGCGACTCCGCTGTGGAGGCCCAAACAGCCAAAGACGAGATGTGAAAGAACGGGCGTGGTGGTGTTCCAATAAAACTTTATGGCTAAAACCGGGCAGCCGGCCCTGGGCTGTGCTTTGCAGATCCTTGCTCTTTACCTCATAAGCAGTGTCCAGGAGGGGCAAGGTATTCAAATTGACAACAAATGCCGGGAAAACAAAAGGGATCCTTG